ATACATATGGTATAGGATTATATAGCTATATATATATGTATCACATATATGTATATGCATTTTTAAATGTGGAAAATTAACTTGTAAAGAGGAATTGTGAAGTCTCTCTGGAAGTCAGTCACAGATGTGTACTTAATAGCTTTAATTTGTTGGTATTAGGAGTTAATTAAATATTACGGTGAGCCTCCTTAGCCACTCAAGATTGTCACGCGGGATTATCTTTGAGTTGTTTGACAAAAATGACTATGCACATGCTACTGCAGGCTAATGTGTTTAAAACATCTTTCATAAAAATAATTGCACTGCTTCACAATAGTAGGCTACTAGCTCATTTTAAACCCTAAATGTTAAAATGTTAAGTTACATACCAGCTATTACTATTCCACAGATGTCAGTGAAGAAAAATGTATTGTAAAAAGTTGCCCAACCCATTGAAATTGCCCTTCCCACATCTTTAAGGGTTTCGGACTTGAATGTACCACAATTTACCATAGAGATGCTTAATCAATAGAGTGAAATTTCAGAGGTGGCACAGCTCACCTAGTAAAATGATGTTTTTCTAGCTTACTTACTTCGCAACTCCTGAAACTAATGTATCAGAACCGCACATCAGCCGAGAGCATGTCAAAGCATTTTAGTAACCATCCTCCACAAATGGAAGCTATTATTAAATTGGAGTGACAACCTCACAGAAGCCGCAGACATGTTCCTCAGGAAATGTTCCCCTAGGCACGGCTGCTCTCTAATTTGTCTTAGGACTCCCCAGTGATCCATGGCTCTCACCCTTTCAGACAGCCGTCCTTTATAGCTGATAGTGAATCATGGGAACTGGGAATTAGCCAGCTTCATTCTGAAACATACATAAAATCCAACTTAATTTCCCAGGTGAGCATTTTATAAAAATGCCTATAACAGAGGTGGACATTACTGTTTCTGCCCCCAGAAGCGTTACTTCCTCTCTCTGAAAGGGAATCCATAAAATAGAAACAAATTTACTCTATTATGTATTATAAAAGTAATGATGATTAGTCTCCAGTCCTGTTGGGGACTGGAGGTAAGAGCTCACTTACATTTATGCTTGACGTTTTATACAGCACGTGTCTGAAACGTTCAATTCTACAATTCTTCCAAACAAAGAATTCTTAATAATTTGGTCCTTCCACACATCCTTAATATTTTATACCAGAAGGTGATTTATAGAAAAAGTTCTTGACTCTGTGTGTGTGTGTGTGTGTGTGTGTGTGTGTGTGTGTGTGTGTGTGTGTATTGTGTAAGGTGTATGCACCCATGTGCTTGCTTGTACACGTATGTGTAGAGGCCAGAGATTGACTTCAGGCGTCTTCCTCTGCTTCTCTCCACCTTAGTTGTTGAGACAGGGTCTGCCATTGAACCCGGGGCCCACTGTTTCAGCTATGCTCACTGCCAGTGAGTTCCCAGGACCCTCCTCTTCTTATACGTGCATATGGCATGCTCCGTTTTAACGTGGCTGCTGAGGATCCAACCTCTGGTTGTCATGCATACCCAGCAAGCCCTTCATCACTGACCCTTTCTTTTAAGGCTTGAGTGTTTATGGACATCCTGGGAAGGAAGCAAGTCAGTTCAGAGTCATCTCAATGCAACACGAGCCTTTGTTTTTGATACACTAATATCATCAAAAAAGAAAGGCAACAGCGTGGGAAAGGAAAGCTTCTTGTATTTTTAACACGGGATAGGCAGGAGCATGTAGCACAACCTGCTGTTCTGGAAGACATCCACAAAGGGTGCCACTAAGAAGCTGTTTGAAAATCACCAACGTGCATTTGGAGGGCGTGTGTCAGACTGTGCAAGGGAGGGGGAGAATAGAGATTTATCTGGCAACACATAGTATGTAACTGTGCATCAGCTGGCATTAAGAAAGCCTCGGAACAAGTCCTTGTTTGCTAGGCCCTTGCTTCCAAAGAGGAATTCTTCTTAATCATCATCCCTCCTCCCTTCCCTCACTGCAGGATCACAGGGCCTGCTCAGGTACCTGCTGGGTTCAGCTACTAGGATGAATACAGTGTTTCTGAAATGGAGCTCCAAAGAATCAGATCATATTGTTTTGAAGTTCTTGGGCTTATGGAATGGCAGGCTCAAGTACTGAATGTTAACGCAGCAGAAACAGGCCAAGATCCTCTGACCTCTGAGGAACAGCCAGCAATTGCTGCCCCAGGGGTTAGATTAGCATATTGCATTATTCCCAAGGGATAAAAGCCATCTTCAGTTGACACAGGCCTTCAGTCCTCCAGCCCTGCCAATAGCCGCCAGTGCTGTAGATTGTCATGATAGTGCAGGAAACACAGGGTTGTTATGGCAGGCTACATCCTGAGACATACAGCACCACCACCACCACCACCACTGCACAGAAAGAAGCCTAAAGTTATTTGCCAACTGGTGATTGGCCAAATACTAAGACAAACCTGGCTAAAAGGATACAAATCTGACAACCTTAAAAATGAAAATCAAGCTTTGGTACAGCAGGACAGATGGGGTTTTTATTTGTCTGTTCCTATTTGTTTATTTTTTATGTTGTCTTTACATTTTTGTAAAGATGACAGTTACACACACACACACACACACACACACACACACACACACACACACACACACCCTTCTTTTTGTTACAGAAAACTCTGGAGAAGGGTTGATCCACTCCCCACCCCCACTCCCCAGCTTCCCCAGCTCCATGTCCCTTGACCCCACCTTCATTCCTATCCCTTAGAGTAGGAGTTGGTCATCCCATTGTCTTTTTTGAATGGTGCACCACAGCGTGCTTCCTGAAGGTCAACTTCCCACCTAGACTTGTCAGAGAGGAAAGAAAGCGATGTTCTGTTTGAAATTTGCGTTGTCCCCCCATCCTCCCGAAGAAAATCTGGCCTTGAAGGTTTTTTCTCACAAAAGCTCTCAGGAAAAAAAAAAAAAAAAAGAAAAACCGCTCCCACACAGCTCACTATGGAGCCGGAGGACAGAACTGGCCCACATCTGTGGGACCCCTAAGTTAACTCCTGGAACCAGAACACAGGGTGGCGGGACTTATCCTGAAACCCAAGAACTGCCGCCTGGGGCCTCCAAACAGAAGACACGGACTGGGATGTCCCCCAAACCGGGTTCAGGGGGCCTGGAGCAGGCGATCTTGAGCCGGGTCTCCGGGGTCTCGGGGACTGTCACGTGTTCCCCAGGCGCTTCTAAAACCCTGGCGGCTCGGTGCCCCTCCTTCCCACTGCCGCCTCCAGGTCCTGCTCCTGCCGCCACCGCCTCCGCTGCGAGCAGAAGCGACCGCGCTCCGCCGCCGCGTACCCCGGAGTCCAGGCACCCACGGCGGCCGGGGCATCCCGAGGTACCCACTCCAGGCCTCGCCTGCCCCTACCCGAAGCCCGCGTCCCTGTCCCGGGTCTTGGAGCATCTTGCGGTTTCCAAGAGGGTGGGGGAGCGACCGGGTGGTAGCGCGTTTGGGAAAGGGGATGGAGGTGGAGAAACCGCAATTGTCAGGCGGGAAGGGAGAGCGAGGGAACCCGTAGCAGCTGAATCCTTCCTCGCTTGGCAGGTCCCTCCCGTGCCAAACTCGCGGTGGAGCGGGCTTCTGCCAGACCTTAGCTGGTTCTCCCGGAAGGGTCCCGAGGATGGGGAGGAGGGATAGATGAAGCGCTGTCCCCGGCTGCCGGGAGCCAGAGGTAGTGGTGCAACCTGGTGGGCGTCTGAGGTGGGGGAACCACAGCCCACGGGGTACTCAGGCTGGTTGTCAGCCCTAGCCGAGCTCAGGCGGTGCCTAGGACGCAGTCTATCGGTTCCTTGGGCGATCCAGCTGCCTCCGTGTCCCACAGCTGGGCACACACCGGGAGACAGCTGTGCACTTAGGTTTGCAAGGTGGCCTGTAAGTCAACTGCGAGCAGGAAATGGCCATCTACACACCTGAGTTCCAGAAAAGGGAATTCTTACTCTTATGTTTACAGACCTGTAGTTTAACAATTCAAAGACCATCTTGTTAGATGGAAGCCAAAAAAAAAAGGCTTTTCCATAATCTGTGACAAGCCTAAGACTGAATGCATTTCAAATTCCAGATGGCTCAAGGGGCGTGAGACTGTACTGTTAAGAGTCTAGAATGGGTAGAAGGGTCGTGGACACTTGCATGTTTTTTAGCTGAACAGCACTGTGTTTACTTGTCCAGGGCCAATTTTTTGCAGGATTTTGCCTTGCAGAACAACACACCACCAGAATACGTGGAGACATGGAATTCTGCCATCTCTTCAAGGCCACAGCAAACAGGCAGTTGATATGTTATCACTAGAGGAGAACTATATATATTTAATATTTCTGCAGGTTTGATATCTTGTGCAAGAAGAATGATATGCATTTTTACTAAGCAGGGAATTATCCTAACAGAAACCTTTCTTATGTGTGTAGATCGGTCTCTCTGTATCCTCTGGCTCACTGTAGTTTCTCCTCTTACTACTTTAAGAACTTAATTACCTACTTTCTAAAAACCCTTAAGGTTTGTTCTGACTTCGCTTGTGTCACACGCAGACCAATTTTTAAGAAAATTGCAATAAACCCTCACAAAGACACTACTTTTTAAAAGTCACCACAGTTGGATGAACACCCTGCCTCCACTGTGTTACTCTGGGAACTGAGCATTTCAGGTGGAAATCATGGTGGCGAGAAAGCGTGCCATGTCCAAAAGAGAACAGGGTAGAGAAATGGGTGGGAATGAAGAACTCACGTGGTCTGAAACATTCTTCTTCCTGCAATAATATTTCTTTGTGTACTTGTTAGAGCGCCCCATCTTCATGTCTTCTAATCTAAGATGAATTAAGAACCTCTATGATGCTGCTTTCGTCATCTGTAGTATTGAAGCTGCGTAAAACTGTACTGCAAGGAGCTGATGATTACACTGTTGAACAGCAGAGGATTAGATTGAGATTTCTATAACTCATTGGTTTTGTTGTTTTTCAAAAAAAAAAAACGGAGAAAGTACAGGGGTAAGTGAAAGCAATGGGATCTTTTGATTTGTTATGTATCTGTTTGTTTTGATTTCAAAGTAGCTCCTCTATTCCACACTTTCAGCTGTGAAACGGATGACTTATATCCAATGCCTAATGGTTAAACTGTCCTCTAATATAAGGAGGCAGTTTTAAAGAAACCAATTAAAGTGTCCTCCTACATATGTTGCAGTATCTATAATTTAGTTGTGAAAAGTCATTCAAGGGAGCAAAGATTTGCAGAAGGTACCTCCTGTTCAGAGTACCTTAGTGTCATGTGTGTGGATGTACTTGTGTGATGGGTAGATGGTGTGGACATCTTCATACTCAGAACAAGCGTACTGAGCTTATTAGGTGTTCAGTAAAGACTTGCTTAACACCATGGAGTAACATTTTACTCAGATAGTCTTTAAAGTGGCCTCCATTTTAAAATTATCTTTGGTATCTACTTAAAATAAAGAAATAATTTAGGAAAGAAATACTATCGTCTATTTTTCTCCAGTATCCAATGACTACTTCAGAGGATATTTCTTTGATCTGCCAAGAAACAAGTAATTTTTTGCTATTTAATAAATGCACAGTAATTTTCACATATTTAAAACAAACATGTTTTAGTAAAAACTGCGCAGTCTGGTACATACCTTCATTTAACTAAAAAGAATTATAACATTTTGGGCAGTTTTAGTTTCCTGTTGGTATGTGTCTTTATCAGTGAAGATACTGCATTTGAGTAGTTGAAGTGCTAAACTATCATTATTGTCTTTATAGATATCTCATTTCAGGCTATTTAAAACTCCTGATTCCGGTGGAGATATATATATATACATACACACATAGATATGCAAACACATAGTCATACTGTATCCTGAGAATCCTCAGAGCCATTCATTTCTGTTATTTTAAATCTGAGAACATTAAGCTACCTTTCTAAAATGATTAGTAGCAAATATTTACTTAACATCCAATATACTTCTCACTATTGGTAAAATAACGAATACCTTCCCTATCTCTAATCCAAGCTAATCTAATCTAATCTAATCTAATCTGATCAAGAGATGGGACATCATGTTTTGGAGACAATACAACTTTTGACTCAAAACTATCTATGTGTAGAGGCATATGTGTGTGTTTGTGCTAGAGCCTGAACCCTGGGCTTCACACATGCTAGACAAGTAAGCATTCTGCAAATGGACTACAGCCTCAGCCCTTCAAAACCATATTTTTTTATTGCAGGAAAAAAGCTACATTTCTTTATTCTCTAAAAAATTGACAGCAATTTTATTCTGAATGTTATATAGCAAGAAAGCACAAAGCCATTATAGATGTCTCTGTCCCATTTTGTCCCTTATCCTTGCTTCAGTCATAGAAGAAAAATCCAATTAGTGACTACTGACCTACCACAAGTTTAAGGGAAAAGGGTTGGTTCAAAAGACGTGAGTCAAAAGTGCAGACAGGCAGGAGTATTGTTGTAAACAGCCCGTGCACATCCCAAGTATAAATAGGATCATGAACAAGCCACAAAGGACCCCAGTGGTCACCAGAACTCAGGAAATGGGGTTGAAGCACCAGTCAAGGCCGCTTTCATTAGACACACACTGACTTCCCCTCAGCATTTGCTGGAAGGCTATTGTCTAGTCATATGGTGAGTGGGATGATTCAGAAGACCATGTGAGTCACTACTGCACCAGCTACCTCTTTCTCTTGAGTCAGAACCAATGGTAATAAATGGTTAGGGTCTAAGGACAAATGAACACTGTCTGGAGCTTTTGGTTTGATTTATCTTTGGAGGGGTGTAGTTGGTTTCAGAAAGTTATTCCTGCAGCCAGGAGTCAGTGGTAAAAGTTCATAAAGACAACTTTTCTTATACAATAATAACTATGTGAATGAATACAAGTTAGTCATAATTTAAAATAATTATCTGTCAATAAAAGCATCCCTAGTTTGGAAATGTATTGAATCTAGACCCGTAGGTCCGTCGTAAATTGAAGAGAATGTTGCTCATTATTATTTTAGTAATTTTCATTTATGACTGCAGAAATAAGTAGGTAAATGTATGTTGTTATATAATGAAAGTCTTTTTTAACTGTGTATGAGTGTATATATATCATCTATCTGTCTGTCTATCTATCCTCTATCAATCACCTATATATTAATGTATTATCTGTATGTCTGTCTGTCTATCTGTCTATCTATCTATCTATCTATCTATCTATCTATCTATCAACCTATCTATATCTATCTATCTATAGTTCTATAGCAATATATATTTAACAGAGTTAATTAACTATTGCTGTATTCGGTTTTCACTAGGAAATTGTTATTTGAAAACAGAAAGTACCCTTGGACATGTTATCATGTCTATACTTCCAGTACTTTAGAAGCTAAAGCAGGATAATGGGATGCTTAAGACCAGCATGGGCAACATAGTGAAAGCCTGTCTCAAAAAAGTTCTCAGTTATTTTTAAAAAAAGAATTGTTTTCCTTTTGCTGATGTATTAGAGGCTACTTATCACTACACTGAACAGTATCAATATCTCTAATCTATGGAGATGAACAGGTATGGAATAGAGTACGATTGCCACTTTCATTGATACAAAAATCATATGAAGTCTCATTAGTCTCACTTCTACATTTAAAATTAGAATATAATTGTCTCTTTCTGGAGACAATATGAATTCACGGGATCTTTCTTGAGCTGACATTTATAAGCAGTTTTTAGATTAAAAAACAAACAAGCCATCTGCTTTCCAATAGCACAGCTGGTCAGCCCATGGTTCAAATTCATAAGATGGAGAACTAACCCTGAGTTATTCTGTTAGCTTCTCAGCCTTTAATGAATGAATGTTGTATACACTTAGGTTCTGGGATAATACTGTATATGTGGGGAGCTTAAATGTGAACATTGCATGAACTAGACCACATTTTGATCACTATTTTTTATCTGAATATTTTTATCCACTCATAAATATTTCACACCCAGTGACAAAGTTACTGTGGCATGTGTTGTGGTGGGTACCACAAAGAGCAAGGGGCAGCTTGTACCTTCCACTACTTAGCAGCAAATGCAGTAAACTGGGGGCATTGTGATGGCTACAGGAAGCAGACTACCACACCAGTGTCAGATAGCTGCAACCTCACTGTCATGGGCATAATAAAGAGAGCACATACAACTACAACAGGAAGGGACACTTTAGGGCAGGTGACTTAACAATGTTTTTATTAGCGTGTAGTAACTAATCACAACAACAAGGTTCATTATAATATTTTCACACATGTACATAACACATTTTGATCACGTTATCCCCAGCACCGTCTCACGCCCCTCTCCTTTTTCTCAAGTACCCCACTCCAGTTTTCTGTGGTGTGTGTGTGTGTGTGTGTGTGTGTGTGTGTGTGTGTGTGTGTGTGTCCCAGTGAGTTTTCGAAGGCATGAGAGAAGATTTGTGCATGGGGAAGGGGCACCTTGCCAATGCCTACACCTCTCCCATCAGGCATTAACTGCTTATAAATCCTGAGGTAGGGTTGGGGTCGCACAAACCTCTCATCCTTCTTCAGCAGGGTGTGGACAGGCCCATTCTTGTACAGAACTTGTGCAGGTAATCATAGCTGCTAACAGTTCAAGAGAGCAACAACCATGCCATGCTCTGACGTCAGCTCTCCACACCACTCCCCCACTTACTCTGGCTCTGATGTTCCTTCTGATCCTTCTTCTACAATATTCCCTGAGACTTAGAGAGAGTCACATAGAAGCAGGAAGGTGACTTTGAAGTTTGATCTTGATAAGAAAGAAAAGAATTTTAAAAGGTAAGATTATAGGCTAATACACTTTCAGCATCTCGACTAGAGAATAATGGTATTAGGCTATAATAAATTACATATCTTGAAGTTTTCCTCTGCATTGTCCTTTTCCATTTTTTCTTATGTTGTTTCTGAAATAAATTTGAAAAACAAAGTCTGACTTGAGCAGTAGTTGACAGAGTGTGAAACTGGTGATAGGTTTAAGTTTCCTGTAATTATGATTGCTGAATTTGTACCAAATTTAGAACCAAAAAGGGTCCTTTAGGACCTTAGAGGTTTGTTAGGGAATGAGGGCAAGCTATAGAATTTAGTTTTTTTTTTTTTTCTGAGTATGTTGAAGTTATAGTAATGTGTGATTTTACTTCAAGCTGCTAATGGAGGTGGTCTTATTCTAAGCAGGACTCCAGTATGGATTTTGAACTTGAAGAGCATTTTAACAAGACAATTGTCAAAAAGAACATTACTGCGGCTGCTCAGAATACTGCCTTTCCTGTCTGGGATGACTACAGAGGTACAGAGAACATTACTGCGGCTGCTCGGAATGCTGCCTTTCCTGTCTGGGATGACTACAGAGGCAGCGTAGATGATTTACAATACTTTCTGATTGGGCTCTATACATTTGTAAGTCTTCTTGGCTTTATGGGAAATCTACTGATTTTAATGGCGGTTATGAAAAAGCGCAATCAGAAGACTACAGTGAACTTTCTCATAGGTAACCTGGCCTTCTCCGATATCTTGGTAGTGCTTTTTTGCTCGCCTTTCACACTGACCTCTGTCTTGTTGGATCAGTGGATGTTTGGCAAAGCCATGTGCCATATTATGCCTTTCCTTCAGTGTGTGTCAGTTCTGGTTTCAACTTTGATTTTAATATCAATTGCCATTGTCAGGTACCATATGATAAAGCATCCCATATCTAACAATTTAACAGCAAACCACGGCTACTTCCTGATCGCTACTGTCTGGACCCTGGGCTTTGCCATCTGCTCTCCCCTCCCAGTGTTTCACAGCCTTGTGGAACTTAAGGAAACCTTTGGCTCAGCATTGCTGAGCAGCAAGTATCTGTGTGTTGAGTCATGGCCTTCTGATTCATACAGAATTGCTTTCACAATCTCTCTATTGTTAGTTCAGTATATTCTGCCTTTAGTTTGTTTAACCGTAAGTCACACTAGCGTCTGCAGGAGTATAAGCTGTGGATTGTCCCACAAAGAAAACAGACTGGAGGAAAATGAGATGATCAACTTAACTCTTCATCCGTCCAAAAAAAGTGGGAACCAGGCAAAACCCCCCAGCAGCCAGAAGTGGAGTTACTCGTTCATCAGAAAGCACAGGAGGAGGTACAGCAAGAAGACAGCCTGTGTCTTACCCGCTCCAGCAGGACATTCCCAGGAGAAGCGTCCAACAGTTCCAGCAAACCTGGCCTCCGTCAGAAGTCAGCTCTCTTCATCCAGTAAGGTCATTCCGGGGGTCCCGACCTGCTTCGAGGTGAAGCCTGAAGAAAACTCAGATGCTCGTGAGATGCGAGTCAAGCGCTCCATCACCAGGATCAAAAAGAGATCTCGGAGTGTTTTCTACAGACTGACCATTCTGATACTTGTGTTTGCCGTGAGTTGGATGCCACTCCACCTTTTCCACGTGGTGACGGATTTCAATGACAACCTTATCTCCAACAGACATTTCAAGCTGGTGTACTGCATTTGTCACTTGTTAGGCATGATGTCCTGCTGTCTTAACCCGATCCTATATGGATTTCTTAATAACGGGATCAAGGCAGACTTAAGAGCCCTGATCCACTGCCTACACATGTCCTGATTGTCATCATTTACCGAGGGAAGGAGAAAGGTTGAGATCGTCTAAAATACATCTGTGCTAAAGATGTATGTATACATTTAATTTACATGAAAGTCTTCTGGATCTTGATGCCAATTCATAATGTATGTGAGGTAATTTTAATGTTGTAATATGGTTAATTCAGTTAGTTGTACAGAGTCAGTGTCAATCTAATCTGTAACGTCATGTTTTAAAGTAGTTACATTACCTTCCATTTCATGTCATTGGTGATAAATGGGTAGTACTTTTTGTTTATTGTAAAAGTTATAGCTAATTAAATTGATCTTTTGTACAAAGATGTAAGAAGCAAAAAGGCTCTTACAAGGAAGAGTATTTAACTATAGATTTAAGGAATTTCTACTATCTAGCTCTCCTCATTTCTATTTCATGGGCTTCTTAATCATTTTTTGTAAAAGTACACAAATATTTAATATGCCCCCAAAGTCTGAACTATATTATAGATATATGCTTAAATCACGATTATAAATTTACAGAAGAATGATTATGTCCTGTTACTGAAGATTGGAAAAATTGTCAGTTTAGTCTGGCTGTCCTACTATGAATAAGTAATTATCAAATACAAATAGATTTTAAATCTTGTTTAGATTGATATCACATTAAACACTGTCAAATAAAGGTTGTTTTCAAGTAAATAACAGGTTTCATGTTATTTCTGTGTTGTGTGTATGTTAGGTATCATGTTGTCTTGCTAAAGTGAAGGCAAACTTCTCCTCTATTTGACACGTTTCTTCACTGGAGCTCATTTGCTCTTACTATTATTTGGTTGGTTGGTTTTGTTTGCAGAACTGAAGGTGGACCTGAAGGCCTTCTGCACGCTAGCGAGTGCTCTGTCACTGCCTCTAGCCCCCAGCCATGGCTGAGTCCCCATAAAAATAATGGATTATTGCACATATAAGCCAGATGCATAAATAGTATTGATGTCTTCAGTACTTACAATTGATTTAAGCATTCCCCTGCATTGATTCCTGCTAACCACAAGGGAAAACGGTAAAACAACCCACCTACAAAAAGACTCTTTAGGTTTGCAAGTAACAGGTAGTTCTTGCGTTTACTCAATTAAAAGCCCCAAATCTTTACAAGGGGTTTCTGCCCACACTGTTCCTCTTCCTCAAAGAAGTCTACGCAGAGGAGAAACATCTGTGTTTTCCTATGGTATGGAAAATGGTGCTGGGTCCCCAGGTGGCCTCTGGTGGCTCCCGTTGAGCTGGAGCTGAAGTTTCTGTGCCACACTAGCCTTTTTACTGCTATATATGTCCCCTTAGTGAAATCGAAGCCTTATATTCAGCCCCAGAAGCAACCTCTGCAGCCAGAGGATAAGTTTAGTACTGAGTCTCAGTCACACTTAACCATATCCTTCCAGCTTAGGCTGTCTACCTTCTTTTTGAACCTTGCTATGCAGTTGGGGACCTCATCCTTTGTTAAGTCTGGGAACTGTTGGGACACTTTACATTCATCCTTGAGATTTATGAGAACTAATGAAATTCTCACATGGGTCTCCAAGGACAGATACCAGCAGCATGGCTTCCTCAGGCCTATGTTCTAACTCATGTCTGCACATGAGCATTCTGCTCTCCAGCTCTTTCTACACTTTCAAAGATGACCACAGCCACATGCCCCATACGCTCTTAGTTTCCCTGTAACCCATCTGAAGTTACATTAAGGTCTTCCCCATGTTTGGCTTTCCTCCTCCTCTTGATTTTTCATACTCAGTGCTTCTGCTTATTATTTTTTCCTGATAAGATGTCTCTCACTGTATTTTCCCACTTCTCTATGCTGTGTGTGGCCACCAGGTTTCACTTTGGAAGTCGGGCTTTTATTGGGAAAATGATCTTTCAGTGTTTGCATCAAACTAATATCTCGCTGTGGATGAAGAAGAATGAACTCTTATTTAAAGCAGTAAGCATTCTCACTTTCTCTAGGGTAACCAAATTCAAGGTTTTCTGTGAGGTGAAATGGAAAGCAATACCAATAAAGGACAAAGATCAATCCGTGGGGACATATCCCATTCCCTTAGATAACCTATCAGCAGAAAATGTCCAGTAACTGCTAAGCTTCTCAGAATTTATACTTGTTGGTTGATGAATTTAGTTAAACTCAGTAAACTAATTTGAGGCTGGTAAACCATTGAACTCAAAGGAAGCAATTCATCTTCCCTAGCTAGAACTAAATGTTCTTAATAATTGAAAGTTAAGAAGTTTCTATGGGCGATTGGCTAGAAGCCACTGAAGCCGGCAGTCATGGCTTTAGAAAGTTATCGTGAGTGATAATTTCTTCCGTGAAACCCTGCTTAGTGAGTTCAACAATCTTTATTCGCTCATCTCTCCATTGCTCAAGGGCCGATTACATTACTGTGCTTCAGCTCTCTCCCGGGACCTGGCATCATTACTGCTTCAGTAGCATCCTCCTGAAACCATGACTGGGGGAAGCAGACGGAGATGAAATTATCAACAGTCAACCTCATTACTTTTGAACAATTACTGAAACGTATTTAGTCCAGGAAGCAGGTTCAGTTGAGTTTTTGTGGTTATTTCGATTATCCCCGCTGTCTGTTACCCATCACAGTGGGTGACAAAATGCTACGTGGAAGAAGGTAAAAGCTGAAGAGAGTACAAAGAGCAGCTGGAATGACCGAGTCATGCAGAACTCCGTGTTAAGATTATTCCAGTAAGGGCATAGCTACTGAATAGCTGCAGCTGTAGCTTCAATGTGAGATGTAGCACATTAAGAGGTAATAGGTGGTGGAGACTATTCCTTATTTCTGGCAATGGGTTAGTCACCCTGAGTGAGTTGTAATACAAGGGAGTTGGGCTTCCTTGGTTCTGTTACTTTCCTGTGATCCCATGACACATGACACCTTCCAGCATGTGGAATGGCAGCATGAATGCCTTTGCCGGATGCACTTTGTAGCACTTTGGTTTTGGACTTCTAACCTGTACAACTGCAAGCAATATGTTTCTTTATAATCATTCCAGTTTGGAATCATCTTTGATAGCAACAGAAGCCAGACGAAGACATAGAGTGTTGACAGGCCTCTCCTGAGTGCTCGGGATGTGTAACTGGGTAATCAAACAGTTATATAATCAGCCCTTGAACAATGGAGATATGACTGAACAGAAACTGTTTAACTCTCAAAAGATCTGCACAGAAGTACTTGTAACTCGTAAAATCAGTAATCCCAGTCTTAATGACTTCTCCCAAGGAGAATAGGAAGAGACCCAGAGAACGTCTGCTTGTTTGGCATTTTTCTTCTGGGAAGAAGAAAACCAATGACAAGAAGTATAAAAACAATAAGTAATAATGTACAAAAAATTAGAGGACTAATTCATTATTATTATTATTATTATTATTATTATTACTATGTATTAATGGATACATGCATTATTTTGTAAGGCTGCTATAACAAAGTGCCACCAGTTAGGTGACATAAAAGAACAGAAACGTATTGACTCACAAGTCAACAAACCAGAAGTCTGAATTCAGTGTGCCCACAGAATTACGCTTCCAACTGGTAGGGGAGTCCTTCCTAGCTACTGTGGATAACTGGCCATCTCTGGTGCTGCTTGCATCTGTGTAGCTCCGGTCTCTGTTCTTTCTGTCACAGGTATACAAACGTCACTCTTCTAAGGGCAGTATCCATATTGGGTTGCCACTCTCTACTCTAGTAGAATCTTAATTAGCTAACTCTGTTAGCTAATTCTATCTAAATGTCTACATTTCCAAATAAGGTTACATTCTAAGGTGCAATGCAAGCCCCAATGACATATTTAGTAATTCTTGGCAATGATGTGAGCTTTAGAACCAGACGGACTGGGGTCAGAAAAGGAAAAGCTGGGGTAAAAGGGAGACTAAGATGAACGTTCATATGGGATGGTTCCAGAATGTTCCTTGAGAAAAACGTTCAGGGAAATGGAAAAAACCTGAAAAAGGTGAGGGTGACTCTAGCAGGGAAAAGAGGGCTTGAAGGGGGAAGCATCACCAACTAGAAGTTCTGCTGAGGAAACAAGAAGAGATCACTGCAAAGGGAAGTGAGAGAGAGGACTCCTTCATTGACAGTCCTTCAGGTACTTACAGTCGTGAGAGAGATGCCCACCTTGCCATCATCTTTATGACCAGAGATGGAACTTCTGACCTGCACTAAAAACATCATTCTAGATATGAAGATAGACAACAGGGTGCTGTAAATGGCTGACATGTCGATTCTATCACTTCTCTCACATTTTTTAGGACAGATACATGGATAAAAGTTACTTTTCTTTCATCTATTATTTGTTTACCGAGTGCCACAACTCTCTAAGGAAAGACAGGCAGAAACCTGACAGCAGCACTCTGTAGCTTGTCAAGACATGATCAGCTGGTGGGTTTAAAGACAGGGTCAAGTCTGGATGCTACCTTCATTGTCATTATTGAAGGAGCTCAAACATTGGTACCATTGATCAGCAAGAGCTCCTTCCTGTTGTCCCAGCTCATTCGTTTTTTACCTCTTCTGTTTGTGGACTGGACCTGTGAGAGCGTCATGTCCAGTGGACAATATCATTCACAACAGCAGAGTTCAGAGTTCCTTTCTGTGCGGTGAAATTCTAACTAACAGAAGGAATTTGAAGGAGTGAGAGTCCTTCCCTCGTGGGGTTTTAGATCTTTCTTTGTCTTGGGAGACTCGTTCGGGAGTTGGATGTCAAGGGTGAGGATGGGACCCAGATCATCTGGACACTTGGACAGCTGATCTTGTTCTGCAGGTGACTGGTACACAAGTCAGGCTACAGAGTCCAGTGGAAACTAGATACATTCTCAAGAGCGCTAAAATGCCAGTGCTCTTTACCTCCTGAAGGCAGTGTTTTACAAGATAATTTTTTCAGAAGCTAGAATACCCAGACTCTGTGTCATTCTCAGAGCCACAAAAGTATTTTGAGAAAAGATTATTGAGATTTTACAAGTGTCCTCACATTTGACACATGAAAATTCTTTTTATTTCTAGTATTCTGCCTTCAATAAAGGTCTCAGTCTAACCTGTTATTACTGACCTGATCTAACTTAAGTGTTTATCCAACTTAATAGGTATTTTATGCATTTTGCTGCAGAAACATTAATTTTTTATTACAGAATGTTGTTCTAAACAACACTAGAGTAGTAAAATGTGTCTATATAATTTTTAAAAGAAAAATTAGCATATTTTCCTCAATGCACATAGCTCTAAGGTTTATGAGAAAGGCTTAGGAATACACTCTCTGTATAGCCACTACTTACTTAGCCCCGTCAATCACACTTTAGTACATAATTGCTTTGTGTACTGAAGACATTTTATTTGAAGCTGGTGAGATGGTTCAGCAGGTGCAGGCACCTGCTTCTTGCTGGGCAACCCGAATCCCTGGAACCCACAGGGTAGAAGGAGAGAACCAGCTCCGGCAAGTCATCCTCTCACCTCCACATATTTTCTGCGGCATGTGGAGCACCCCACCCACACAAGTTCTCACTGACCCTAATGTCTGCATGCATGCCAGTTTGTGCTTAAAAGGAGCCGTATCAGATCTATCACACGATTTTAAATTTCTTAGTTCTCTCATGTTTTCTTGTAGATGCTAATCGAGGCACACTTCTTATATTTAAATTCCCCAATGCTTGAGATAAGACCCTTAGA